TAATGTTGAACTGGCTTTCTGGTCATAATGCTTGCCACAGACTCTCCATACACGACAGGCACAGAAGATTTTATTAACAAATGTACCACCTAAGCACAATAAACACAAATAACCTTTTCTGTCTACCGCAGGTTAAGCAATGGAAGTATGGCACTGATAGCTGTTGGAAACACCTCCAGGTCAGAGTTCATCAAGCACTTGAAGAGATACAGCAGCACAAACAACCAGGTGAGCTCACATGCCTACTGAGGGAACTTACTGAACTCACATCAGCCAGACACGCAGGAAATCCAGCCCACGCAAATGGAGTTAACAACCTCTCCAGCTTAAGCAGAATTAGCATACTGTCAAGTCAAATTAGTCGCTGATTGTCAGCTTCCCACAAAACACTTTTCAGGCTAATACAGATTAGCCCAGTCTCTTCTTTTTTCTTAAGCAATCCAATCTAGTGCTGTTTGTTAACCCACATTCTATAAATAATCTGTGTAGGTTGCGGCATTGAGGTACTGCTCTTGACTCTCGCGTGAGATGTCATTGTGCCGCAGAGTAAAGTGGTGCCAATTTCAGGGTTTCTGTGCTGTACTAATGGGCCTTTACTGCCCATTTTAAAAGAGCTTGTGTTGTGTGTGTTCACCTCATTTACATGTAGAAACTCAAGTTTATTTTAACTGTGGTTGAATCTCAAAAAGAGTCATGCCTCAAGAAAGTCTCATGCCTCAAGAAATGGATTCAAATGAAGTCTATTTTTAAAACTTGTTGCAAAAAAAAAAAAGAATAAAAATAAAAACAAACATTCTTATTTCAGTGCTGTGAAATTTTTTTTTTTATATATTATTTAAATGTTAAAATATGTATATGTCCTGGTAGTATTTTTTAAACAATTTAAACGTGAATTAAAATTCATTCTGTGTATCAGCATTGAGAATTAAAGTCAAAAAGGGTAAAAACTAAAATATAAAACATCATTTACTTTCAACTTAATATATTATGGTAATTGGAAAGTGGAATTAAAAGAGAAAATGTGCTTAATGCTTAAACATATGCTGTATATTATGTAGAGAAAGACAGATCAGGGGATTTTTTTCTCATGTTTTAACTATTATATATATATATATATATATATATTAGGGTTGTCAGTCGATTAAAATTTTTAATCTAATTAATTACATGATGTTTCGATTAATTAATTTAATTAATCACAAAATACATTTGACTGTGAAAATACCCACAAAAGATTATTTAAAGCTATTTTAAAGCTATAGCTACTTTTATTTAAAGCTATTCAAGTAGACATTACAAATTGTAGCTTTAGAAAGAAATATTTTATTTAATTCAGCATAAAAGTTATTACACATAAACATTAAGGCTACAACGGCATAAACTATGAACATAAAATAAGATAATTTGAGAAACATCTCAGTATTTTTTGTTCATACACTGAAAGTCATTGATAACCAAAACAACTTTGTTACCAACAAAATACCTTCTTTTATGTTCCACAAAAGAAAGGTTTGAAACGACATGAGGGTGAGTAAATGATGATAGAATTTTTTTTTTTGGGTGAACTATCCCTTTAATGTTTTTATTTTTATTATTATAATTTTTTTAATGAAATGATACTCTAAATAAGAAACTAAATCTGCCAGCAGGTGGCGATAAATGTCTTATGAGTCATTCATTCGGCTGATTCATTCAGGAATGAGGTAAATGGCTCTCTTTATGAATGGGGCTTTGAATCATTGGTTTACACAATTCGTTCGGAGACGCGCAACAGTTCTGCTGTGTCTTTAAAGGTAACATGTTCTCTGCAAAATTGAGCAAAAACAGATAATATTGTGTTTAAAATATAACACAATATTAACTTCTTATTTACTGAACTGTTGTATAAAATCACATTTAAACTCGTGATATTCGGGACAAAATCAGAACTCGTCTGATATTGCTCTCGCTGCTGGTGTGATATCGCTTATCGTATGATATATAAATATGAGACAAAAACTCATACAGGGGCATTTTGCACCAATATCTTGAATTTTAGGGCATAACTGCATTTATG